GTATACGTATTATATATCACACGGCGGATTTTGTGACTGCGAGATTAGAGTATAATAAGCATAAGCACTAGTAGTCGATTATCGATAATGTGTAAAGAAAAAAAAAGGAGACTACAACGTCGGATAGTCGGAAAACAGAGAGAAATTCATACAGTCGACGGGATACAGCGTAATAAAAACAGAGATGGTCAAAATATTAATATACGATGAGATACTAACTAAAAAAAATGCACCATATGCGATATCTCTCTTGTATAAACTTAATAATAATATAACTATAATAATTATAAAATAGTAATATAATATTATAATAAAATAATAAAATACGATATTACACACACACACACACACACACACACACACACACACACACACACACACAATGATACACAATTCGAGAGTACGGCGTAATAATAATTAATAATAATAATAATAATAATAATAATAATAATAAAGAAAACAAATATCTGCATTTTTATCTACACTTTGTCTACAACAGTTATCTTCTTTTCAAACTTCGCATCTCTTCGATTTGCCCAATTCTTTATCGCAGTCGAGCGCAATTCGCCTCGATATAATAACGTCTTGACTCGTTAGAGGGAAAGAAGATCACGTCGGAAAACGTGTGCGTGCGTGCATGTCTCTCCCTCCTTCCCTCTTTCTCTCTCTAAGATTAACGTATGTGTTTTGTGTTTATGTACGAGCGCGCGCGTGTGTGTGTATGTGTGCGTGCGTGCGTGTGTGTTTATGTGTGTATGCGTAAATGCAATCGGTTATTTCCATTATCATGGATTCCTTTAAAGTACAACAAGCCGCGTGTACGTAAGACCATATCGAGTCCGAGATGATGTTTCATGTGCTTTTCCCTCCTCACTGTGGTTTCACTGCTCTTGATTTTTCTTCCCCTCAAGAGAGAGAGAGAGAGGGGGAGAGAGAGAGAGAGAGAGAGAGAGAGAAACCCTCCTCGGGCGCGTTTTGCTCTCCTCAACATTATCGCGCGTACTTTCGCCCGCGACGTTCGCCCGTAGCGAGAGTTTTACCGATCGAACTGTAACCGAGACTTTCGTCGAGACCGCCGAAAATTGAATTCGAATCGTACCGAACGGCCAGTATCGTGTAACGCCGGATCATCGGTTCGTGAAATTTAAAGTGAAGAGAAAAGGAAAAAGATATCGCTGTATCCGCAAAATAGAGTATTAAATAAAACTTTGATTAACCCGAGAATTCAGAAACAATGCGGTGATATAAAAAATGCAGTGCGGTCGCATGGGACGATCTCGCGAGAACCGTGCGGTAACTTTTTTTCCGTATAATGAATGTCGGAGGGAAAAAAATATAAATTCCCGAATTCTCTCTCTGAAAAATTGCCTGTTAAGGAGCGCGATAAAAGCGCGCCTCTTTAATAATAATTACAACATATGTTAGAAATAAGAAAAAGAAACAAGCCGGTGTCATTGTATCCGCCAGCGTCGAGTTTCAGTTTTTATCCCGGCCCGCTTGTTTTTCTGGCAATATTATGAATCACTAATATATTATTCATGAAAGACAAGAAATGTACCGTGCGCGCGCGTGGACATCGGCATTTATCTGATCGATAAAAATACTTCGCATCCGATAACGAGTGAAACATGCAAATGAAGACAGATGTTCGTGGCAAAAATGAATTATCATCGTACGAGCTGACGGTCGACAACCGCGAAACTGCTAAACAGTCCGATTATCGCGTCGAACGCGAGGAAAAAAAGACGATAAAAAACAGAAAGGAAGAAGAAAGAGAAAAAACAGGCGGAAACGCGCACGACTATTTCACTCACTCACTCACTCTCTCTCTCTCTCTCTCGATTGCACTTTTCGTCTCCGATCGTTCCGTCCTGTCCTCCCGCGATCGGACCGAATCGAGGCGTCTCGCGGAAGTTCCTAGGAAAATATTACGCTGCGAGGATCGCGCTCGAGAAATCGACGGAGTCTTTCGATGTCTGCGCGAGAGACGTTTGCGCGAGAAACGGTCGTCTGACGAAGTTCCCGACGTCGTGCGAAATATCAGGACCGTTTGCGGTATATCGTCCGCCGAATAACGATAAACGCCCGGGTATCACGTGCGACGGCGACGTGTAACTATCGGCTTCGTTCCGTAGTGACTGTCGGTATCGGTCGTGACGATTGAAGGGTTCGACGAGAGAGAGAGAGAGAGGGGGAGAGAGAGAAGGGTCGGAACAGCTCGGTAATTATTAAAGGTCGCCTCATAAATTGCGCATTTGCGAGGCCGACCTCTCGCCTCATCACGTTGCTCCTCCGATCCTGCTCCACAACCTCCTAATTCTCATTCGCATTCACCCCCATTCGTTATATCGCTCCGCCGGGCGTACGCGACTCGACGCGACCTTATCGTTTCACCGTGTCCGACGCGCTCTATCGCGAAAAGTCCCCGTCGGCGGCAAACGTAACGAGCATATAATATCTTCCTTTTCTTCTTCTTCTTCTTCTTCTTCCTCCTCTTCGCCCCTTCTCCCTCCCTTTCTCTTTCTTTTTATATACATATACGTACGAAGGCATACGGAAATCGACGGTGATCTCGAGTGTGGCTCGAGCTAGAGGAGGACTCGTTAGCAATGTTGGTAACGAGCACGTTCGCGTCCTCGTCGTCGTGCCGTGCGAGAACGACGGGGAAAAAAAAAATAAACAAACAAATTCTCGAATGGACACGCGGGGTAACGCGTGAGAATCATTCTCAACGTCGATAATAATAATACTCGCGAAAATTGCAATTCCGCCGCGCCGGGGAAG